ACTTTGCTCTTGTACGCAAGTTTCTTGGTTTTGGGGAATTATTTCTTTATTTTCTCTGTCGTTCGTTCTTTTTATAAGTACATACGTAGAAAGGCTGAGTTAATGTAAGTTTGTTATATTAGACTGGCTCTGCCGAGCTTATGTTCTCAAAGTAATGTACACATTGTGAGAAATTGTTCTATAATCCTTTACAGTATTTTGTACAATGAAATATTTTAAAGATGCACGAAAATCCGCAATTTCGAAGACGCGTTAACCCTTTGCAATCGNTGCGGGGGTGGTTCGCGAAACGGCACTTGGCACTCTACTCACGTTCGGGGGTCCGCGCGCGCGACCCCGCACACGCTCGAGCGGACACACGCGGTTTCACGCGACGACCTGGACGAAGAAGACGGTCGGGCCCGACAGGAACGATGGCACGCGGTCCTTCAGGAATTTTGAGCGAAGCATCTTAATGCGCCGCGCGCCCGTCGAAAACTGACCCCGCAGCTGGCCGCCTTGAAAAAAGGGGGGTGGCATTCGGGGCCCCGGAATGGAAGGGCGAACAGAGCCCATCCGTGATGCCCCGTGTCCAGAGGTGGGGGGAGGCTGGTCGAAAGCGCGGCCGAGGGGCGGCCGAGGGGAGGCCGAGGGGAGGCCCGGCCATCACCGGATTTATTATTCAGTTGCTCGTCTTCTGCTCCTCCTTGGCTGCTTCTTTTCCTTTCCGGATTTCTAACCACCCCTTGAGAAAGAGAGAGAGAGGGAGAGGGAAATTGAGCAAGAGAGAGTGAGAGAGAGAGAGAGAGAGAGAGAGAGAGCAAAGCTACCCCTATGGAACAATATTATCTCGTTTCGTGTGGACGATGACCTGGACGCCGAGGTGACGCTGCCGGCTCTCGGACCTGTTTAAGGGTTTAATTTTAGGGTCGCTGGAGGGGAGGGGCACCCTACAGGGGACGCGTGAATTGCGACATTGTCGCGTTTCCAGCCAGGTAAATTTAATCGCTACGTATGCTGGGGACTCTTGCGCGGAGACGCCGAGGTTCGGTAATTATTTCCTCCGATTTTTCGAACTGCTGCTCGAGGTGAAACAATTAATAGTATTCGATCGTATTATAGTATCGTATTCGATAATAATATTTCTAGAAATCGCTTCTTTCATCTTAGTCTGTAGATTTTTTTAAGATTAAGGGAAGGGTGGGTTCGAATGAGTTCATTTCAGAACGGTGGATCTAATGTAATTCATTTAATTGTTACTTACTTCGGTTCTCATATGATCTTTCATAGTTGTGTATTGTTTCTTTCATTTTATTCTGGTACATTTTGTTAAGATTTCTCTCATTAGCGAGAATATGTATTATTGTTGGGAGAACTGGGTTGGAATAAATTCATTTTGCTACGCTAGAGACATTGTGAGAGATCAATCGTTATTTTCGTTGAATTTACTTTGCTCTTGTACGCAAGTTTCTTGGTTTTGGGGAATTATTTCTTTATTTTCTCTGTCGTTCGTTCTTTTTATAAGTACATACGTAGAAAGGCTGAGTTAATGTAAGTTTGTTATATTAGACTGGCTCTGCCGAGCTTATGTTCTCAAAGTAATGTACACATTGTGAGAAATTGTTCTATAATCCTTTACAGTATTTTGTACAATGAAATATTTTAAAGATGCACGAAAATCCGCAATTTCGAAGACGCGTTAACCCTTTGCAATCGAGCGGTGACCAATGCGACGCTAGAAAAATTGTTATATCATGTCCCAAAATAATTTTTACATCGTCGAATTCGTGTATATTCAAAACTCTGCCAAGTCTTCGACTATCACATGATTCATATAAAATAGAAACACAGTATGTTGTAAAAACTATCTCAAATTTAGCGTGGCTTCGAGCGCAAAGGGCTAAGATTTCACACGACTTCCGATGGTAGAATGCTCGCAAATAAATTCATCCAATTTAGAGCGACTTCCCTAAAAGCATCTTCGCGATCTCGTTAACTACAAAGTAACAGTTCGAAGAGAATACTTTTTCCCCAATCGCAAATCACCATTTCATCATCATTTCGCATTCACGATCTCTATCGAGACTTGCCTAGAAAAACTCTCGCGTGAGAAAAAAAAACGAATTTCGATCGGAGGATATCAGCTCGTCGAAGCTTCATTCTCGATCCGACTTCGGTGTGTTCATACGTGGTATCCCCAAAAACCCGCCCCCGACCTCTCCTTACTCGACGCTAAACCTCCTGAAATCCCAGGCCGATTAATCCTCGACATTTCCATAAACGAGCAATCCTCTGCCAAATAACGTCCGATCGATGGCCGGTGTTCGAGGCCGAAATTCCGTCATTAAAAATCGAGTCAAACGTAACAATCGAACGTCCGCACGGTCGCGCGTCCATTCTCCTTTTATTCGGTGATCGATCAAGGTCCGGCAATATTCAGCAGGGGTTTCAGCCGAACGAACAACGGACGACAGCGGACACAGCGAGTCGCGGAGCTTCGAAAGTGCAGGCCCCGCCGCAGCCGTCACCGTTGTTTCATTCAATTTTTATTCGATAATGCACAATACATGCACCGGGTCTTGTTTATTCATTCGCCGCGACCCGGGGCCGCGTCGCGCCGCGTCGTCGTTTCGCTCATCGCCGGCGATACACTTTATTTATCCTATATTATTTATCGGGCCGGCTGAAATTCTGCGCATTGTTTTCCAAAACTCCGCGGCTAATCGCCGCTCTGTTCTACGCGCGCGCCCCGTCGAACCCTCCTCGATTGTACACGCCGCTGCGCCGCACGGGGCGGAGACCGTCCGAAACCGGTAAAAAAGCATTCTCTCACGCGAGTCATACATTTGTGTCCAACACTTTTCGACTCTCTGCGACACGAATTCGTACGCGAACAACATCTACGAACAGGAATATAACCGTGAAATTATGTGATTGAATGTACAAGTGCTGGAGGAATTTAAAGAATCGCGGGAAGCGAATAACAGCAAAATTTTCTGCACGTTGAAAATTAAGAGTTCATCCGTCGTAATGGAATTTGACTAAATATTCCCCAAAAGTTAAAAATAAAAGTATCGAACGTCGTTTGAGTCAATGAAAATTGATGCTATTAAAATAGTACACGATAAAGCAATCGATTGAATTAAAAATACAACAGCACTGTAAATAGTGATTTTGTTACATTCGCCTCGAAGTGGGATTCTTTGGAACCACGCAGCTGTGTTAATAGTTAATCGAAATGAAAAAGAATTATATCACATTCTCGCTCGAACGTTCAATCGGTTTTCTTTTCACATTTCGACGGCACCTGCGAAACGAGACTTTTTTACCGCGCTCGGGTGCCTTTTTACATTACAGTGCGCCGATTCGATCGACAATCCTCGTGGTTTCTATCGATCGATCGATCGATCTCTCTCTCGATTTCTTATCGGCAATTGCCGCGGAACGGTGATGCTAGAAGCGTTTTATTTTTCGGTTCGCACAAGACTCGGGCGAAGCGGTGGAAAGCAGACGATTCGAAGCGGAAAGAAGCGGTTTCGGGTCTAGTCCGGGCCAGGCCGTTTTTCCTCCAATCCGCCGCGGGGCTTTTCGGTTTGTTAGTTTTGCGGCGCTAAAGCGTGCACCGGTCAGACATCTCTGCAAGCAAGCAATATTAATAGTTGTTAGATCCCAGCGCGACAGAGACGCGCCGGACCGTGCCGCGCACGATCCGACACAAGTGGAAAAAGCGTTAATTTTGTCGGGCTGATCGATCGTCGATCGGCGACCAGGCACCTTCCGCGACGCCACTGTGCACCGCGACGCTTTGGCCGGTGCCCAATTTTTGTGCACGGTTAGACGAGCTTCGCTATCTAGACGATCTTTGCAGCTTCGAAAACCAGATGTATTTATTTTAGATCATTTTTGTTTGCGGCCCGCGAGCGTTGCCGAGAGGCGAGACTGCCACGTCGTTTCTGTCGTGGATCTTCGCGCAAAATTCGATCTATAATGATTCGTTCTATAAAAAAATTTAACTCTGAGAAATGTTTCGGGAGAAACAGCTTCGCCGAGCCGACGTTGTATCGGAATTGCTACGATGATAGATCTGTGGAGACGCGAATCTACTGGGAACGATCTACAGAAATTATGCAAAAAATTGTTATTAATGTTTATTATTAAAATCATTTCTACGTTGTCGATGTTCGTGGTTAGAAATTTGTTGTAAAGCGTAATTGTCGTACGAGTCACCGGACTCGATTTCAAATGCATAAAATCCACTCGGCCATATAAATATTTAATATTCAGACAACAGGACTGCACTTCGGTGCTTGCAATCATGCGATTCGATTGTACACGTAACAAAAGATCGGAAGGAATCGTTCAGTTTTCCCCGTTGTTTAATGTCTTTGACGCATAATCTCGTTCTCCCAGGAAAATCGTCTCAGCAGTTTAACTAATCCTCGACCGCAAAGGGTTAATAGACTGCTCTCTTTATGCATTTATAAACTACGCTTCCGTTAAACGCTAAACCGCGCCGTGCACTAAACGCGACCGATTCGTCTAATCGCATGAAAGTTGCAAGATTACATATATATATATACAGACTTTTGCGTATCTGCCATTTTAACGTACGCTCGAACAAAGCAATCGATCCAATTATTCCCCGCATGGGAATGTCTTTAAAATCTGAGCGATCCTAAAATATAAAACTGGAAACCGGTCGTTCGCACGGTGCGTTTGAGGTTAACAGCATCCGGCAAAAATTTCGAATCGGATCCACGACGGAAAGAATTGCGAGAATCTCGTCCGTATTTAAGACAGAGATGTTTCCAACACCGTTTCAATTTCGCCAAGGAAACGCCGCTGCAGGGTGCACAGTGGCTCGCTCAGCCAGCCCAAAAGCTCCCACAGTATCAGAGAGACAAAGACAGAAAGAAAGAGAGAGAGAGAGAGAGAGAAAGAGAGGGAGAGAGAGAGAGAAAGAGAGGGAGAGAGAGAGAAAGAGAGAGAGAGAGAGAGAGAGAGTGAAATAGAGTCTTTACCTGAACTCGATCCGCTCTCTACCAGCCTCTCCAGATCATCGCGTTCCTCTGGCTCGTCTCCGTCGTCTCCGTCGTCGTCGTCGTCGTCTTCGTCGTCGTCCTCCTCATCCTCTTCCACATCGAACAGTCCGTGCGTCCAGTTCATCCGACACTGTTTTCGCGGAAACCGATGCTCGGTGCTCGCGTCTCACTCACTCGCGGCCGATGGAACGCGCGACCCGCTCGCTCCCCAAATCGAGAGGGCCCCCGCGAGATCGGCGAACCGCGGTGAAAAAAGAAAAGAAAACGAAGAGGGAACACGCGGCCAGATCGCGGCGCACCTTCCGCGGCCGCGGGATTCTCTTATCGACGGGTCGTCTTCGCGATCGAACGAACAATCGGCCGGTCTCGGGCTCTGGTGGACCGCGCGCGCGCGCACGCCGATTCTTCCCACTTTCTCCCTTTCGCGTGCGGTTCTTTCGTTCAAAGTACGCTCGACGGACGGGCACTGATCGCCGCGTGCATCGCGCGCTCCGGCTCGCTCGCGGTTCCGCTCGACGCTACGTCGAGGACGACACTGTGTAAGCGCGCGGGGCCGACAGTCGCCGCACGGATCTCGTCTCCTCCGCGTCTTCTTCGCGCGAAAAACCGCGGAACGCGGCCCGGCCGCTTCCTCCGATCGGGCCGCGGACGCACGCCGGTTCTCCAAGAAACACCGAAAAACCGACGCCCGGCGCCGACAACAGCCTCCGGCAGCTAAGATTCCCGCTGGCAGCGGACGAATTCGCCGCTGGAGCTCTGCTCCGGCCTGGTATTTTTTTTCGAACGAAACCGAAGCCGATGCTCGTTTTCCAATCGAGAATTCACCGTCGTCCCTCGCCGATGACTCACACCGATCCTCGATCGTCCGTCTCCTTCCGTTCGCGCACTCGCCTAGCCTTTGTTACAGTTTGGCAGGCTCCCTTCCATCTAGCCGCCGCGGGTCAAAAGACAGAGTCTCGCCGCTCACCAGATCTATTTTCCACGCCGCGAATATCGCTCCTCTGGCCGCCCCAACTTCCCAGAAGATGCTCAACACAAGAGGCTCACGGAGGCGCTCGCAGTCACGCCGTTATCTTTATTCTACGCAGACGGGCGTATAGATCCTCTTCGATCTAGCTGGTCCCTCGGAGGAGAGCTGGTCTCTACCGAGAAACCTCGGAAGAGGAAGGATTGGCTCCGGCGAGGACGCCTCGAAAACACGGTCCTCGCAAACGTTCACCGATTCACTCCGATCCTCTCGCCTACGAAGGGGTCCTCCCTTCTTCGGGGTGTCCTCCGTCGACGTCCCGGAGGAGCCGCACGAGAACCAAGAGGATCTCCACTAATAAAGTCACTCCGATCTTCTTCTAGCTTCGCGATCGTTTTTCCCGATTCCTCGACGTTTGCCCGGGTTTCCCGGTGCACGAGCACGGTTCACTTCGATCCTCGATTTGCTCGCCGTTCGAACGAACTCGTAGAGATCTATCGTTGTCGTCGAACGACGATGCCGCGCTGGTCGACGATGGCAGAGACGAGGACGACGCCGGTTTTCCAGGGCGCACGGTTCAGCCGGAGCTCGCTCGCGACGTTACGATTTTCAGCGCACTGAAATCCGCGGCACGCCGCGTCCGCAAGTGGGAGGGACTGGTTCGCACGTGACTGCTCGGTGCGTCGTATTCTTTTCTTCTTCTTCCTCCTCCGAAACGCTGCCGCATCCGCGACGGCCCTTTCTCGTGGAAGTAACAAGAGTCCGCGCGGCCGGCGCACCGGTAACCTTTGTCACTTCCTGCCCGGTGCGGCGTGTCTCATCGCCTCTGCATCGCTCTCGGACGCGCCGATCTTCTGACCCAGTGCCAGAGAGAGAGAGAGAGAGAGAGAGAGAGAGAGAGAGAGGGAGGGAGAGAAAAGGAGAGAGAGGTGGGGAGAGAGAGACGGAGAGAGTCGATCGGCAACCCCTAACAGTCGAAACCGGCGTCGATCTTCGGGACGTCGGCGAATTCGCACGTGGGGCCCGGTCCCCGGGACGGTCCTCTTCTCCGTCGATCCCTCGATGCCCCTCTCCTGGAACACCTCCTCGAACACCTCCGCTCCCACGGCGAACTTCGGAACCTTGTTGACAGTGTACCAGGCGAAATCGGTTGGATCGTGTTTACCTTGGCCAGGGTGGCCGGCTCCTCGATCCTCCGGAGATCACTTCTTCCGGCTGCGCGATCCACCGGCGTTCCTCTCGATCCCGTGCGTCACTGGGCCACAATGTCGTTTCCCGAGGGTCTCAGGGCCAGCGCGGGCCTCTCTCGGCTTCGAATATTTCTGCGATTTATTGCGGCGCGACTTAGAAATGCATCTAATGCGGTGCACGCCGCATAGAATGCATGCATGCACCTTGGCGGCGGGGAGGGCGAGCCACGGAGAGCCGAGGAGAACGAGGGCCGAGGCGAGTCGAGTCGAGAGCCGCGGCGCACCGCGCACACCGCGTCCGCGCATGCGCACACCAAACAGAACGTGTGTACTCTACTCGCGCGCGCGGCTAGGCGAGCTAGCGCGAGCTCTAGCGAATATGAGTGAGCGGATCTCGGAGCCCGCTCCGCCACCGCCGCCACCGCGGAGTATCTTCGCTACGTCATTCATTGGCGTGGAGAGTGAAAATCAGAGCTACGCGGCCTGCACCGAGCCTCTACGTGCAACTGTACCGGGAACGGTGAACCGTCGTCCCCCGATCGACGACATCGTGACTCCGTGATCGCTCGGACCGGAGAAACCGTTTACGCCGATCCCACTTTATCCGAACGCCGACGAACGGCGTTCGTTAGTCAGCCGAACAGCTGAAAGGCTCCAGGACCATTTTGACTTGGACGATTCGACTGGAGAAGCTCTCTTCAATGATCTTTGCAAAGCTTGCGATAGAATTGGGCCCTTGGGCCTGCTACGACGTTCGACCGGCAAACAGACGTTTCAGTTTCAGGTTGACGATTTTGGGACTCCGATGCGAGACTTCTTAGAGGCTCTTAGTTGCAAAGGGTTCTTCAAGACTGCTTCGGTTCGAGGTCTTTGCAAAGCTCGGTACGATAGAATTGGGCCCTTGGGCCTGCTACAACGTTCGACCGGCAAGCCTTCGTTTCAGTTTCAGTTTCAGGTTGACGATTTTGGGACTCCGATGCGGGACTTCTTAGAGACTCTTAGCTGCAAAAGGTTATTCAAGACTGCTTCGGTTCGAGGTCTTTCTCAAGGCTGATGATTTCGGGCTCGAAGGATCTTTAGATCGATCTGATTCGCCCGGAGCGACCTTCGAAGATCGTCCGAGATCTCTTAGCTTGGAGTCCATGTCAAGGTTCATAGGTTGCAGCATGGTGCTTTTGGGTTAGGGGATGGCGGACCCGAAGGTGTCCAAAAGAAGCTCGAAGAACGTGCAAATCTGAAAGCTGCCGATCTTCCGGCTTCCATAGAGTCGCCTGCTTTTCGTCAGCGCGACGATTCCTCTTCGGTTGACAGCGGGGCTCTTCCATCTTGCCAGATAGTCGCTCGGATATGAAGCTCGAGATTGACGATGTCGAGTTCGCGGACGTAGCGAGCAAACAATTTCAGCGAAACTTGGCACTGCTTCCGATGCGAGCCAACAAGCCTGAAAGTCTTGTAACATTGTAGATAAGCGTTACGTTCATCGGGTTACGGGTGCAGAGGTCAGTCGGTGTTCGGAGCAAGTTTCTCGATGACCAGGACCACCCTCTGCGATCCTGCGTTAGCTCTTAGACAGATGATTTTGACAGAAGGTCGCGTATCTGATCGGCTGATTAAAGAACGGAGAAATTTAGGGAGAATTTTTCGCAGCGTTGCGATCGAAAAGCTGAGAGATTCCAGGCTTTTCGCTGTTCGGATCTTCGTGGTGCTGCACAGAAGGTTCTACCTAATTCTCGGTCCGCGAAAGGTGCATCTCGGATGAAACCTGGAGAAAGGATTCTGCGGAACCCGTTGAAACGATCCCTGCTCTGGAGTCTCTAATTAGTGGAACAGGGCGAAGAGGGCTGTGCGATGTTTTTCTCTCTTGTAGTAGTTTTACAAAAAGGGGATGATCCTCATCATCCTGGATCTGAGCTATTCGCGTTGGAACTATATATAAGTATGAGAAATTTAATATTTTGCACTGAAGAATTTTTAGAAAATTTGTTATCGAGAAGACTGGAAAACTAGAAGAGTTTTGGTGCAATAAATAAATCAGTAATTAATTAAATTAGGTATTAAATTGAGTATTAAATTGGGCCATTTCGGTAGCAACTGAAATTTCTGACACGCCTATTCTACCCTGCGCCGTGATCTAAACGCGACTAAATCAATTTATCTAGTGTAAAAACATCCCCCGTGTACTCGCTCTCCGATTGGTCCAAGGTTTTCCCTTGATAACTCGTCGACAAATCCGCAGAGGACATTTTCGCCGTGGACAAAATGATTCGAAATGATTTCAGGAATTACCCGTTCCATTCGATTCCAACATTTCCGGGACACCCTGTATACATCACGCGTTACTTTTGCCAACTGCCGAGATACCTAGCGATCCCTCGACATCGTCAACAAGATCACTCTGACCGAAACTATTTCGAGCAACATTGTCTAATCTACGTTTCGATTGTTGTTCAAACGCCCTATTAATAAGCTTCCGGTAAGCAGATCGTCAAGGCGATCTCGCACCCCGCGCAGATTTCCTGCCGGCCGGCAGGCCTCGCTGATCGTTCCCGATCTAGAGGATCGAGGCGGATCGAGGCGTTCTCCACTTCCCACGGCGCGGATCCCGGGAACGGGAAGCCGCGAAGGGGTTCGGGGGATCGGTCCGCCTCGTTTCCAGTTCGGCTAGTTGTTAATAGGGGATCGTCCGGCGCGATCAACAAAAGCTCTGAAATATCTTTCCTCGGCCGCGGGAGAACTTCCTGCCGGGGCGCAGTTACCGCGCCGGTAAATTCTCGCGGCGCGGCATGGCGCGGCGCGGAGCGGAGCGTATCGTGCGACGCGCTCGTCCGCTTACTTTTGCGAGCGAGTCGCTGCAGTGCGCGCGGCGGCGCACTGCGGGCCGAAATGGAAAAAGTTGAAAGCCGAAGTCGAAGAACTTTTCCTTGGAATCGAATAAAGCAGTTTTTTAAAAACACGGCTCTTTTATGTTAACGCGGAAGAATCGTTGTGGAATGTGGGAAAAACAGGGAGACCGTCGTGCGAACATTTTTGAACAAAATTTCTGCGAACCTTCGACAATATTCCAGCAAAGTTGTGATTTAATCGGTAACGCGAGCAGTTGGACTTTTTTTTTAATGTCACGTTATGCGTCGTTTCGCGTAGACCTTGGCAGGATTATTATAAAATTGATCCACCGCTTCAGGATTTCGAAGAGAAGTCATATACAGTAATGTCTCCCTTACTGACGCCGAGATTGTGCACAGAAGTGGACAATTTGGGAAGAGCAGACACGGTTATTCGAGCCTTGTAGCTTGTTTTCATAGTTGTCGACAATTCGTAACTATAAAAACGAACCGTGAGGCTCGAATAATCGTATCTTCTCTTCCCAAATTGTCCATTTTTTCTGGACAACCTGAGCGTCAATCAGAGAGACATTACTGTGCATCGCAGAGGATTTTTGAGTTTCAGAGATTTCAGAGTTCATTTGAACTGTTTAGACTTTTTATATATATACATCGTATTCAAGAGTCTGCTTCTTACGAAATAGACTTCGCGATGTTAACCCTTTGCGCTCGAAGTTATTTCAACTGTGAATCTAAAATAAATTTGTCTGACTCACAGTATCTTCATTTTATATGACAAAGTGCATGATACGCGTGCGAAATTGAGTCTTGCGACTCTCACAACGGTTACGCTTTTAACAATTTCTGAAAATCCAAATTTCGTTGATGCAACAATTATCTTAGAACGCGATGTAACAAATTTTAGCGGTGCCTCAGAGTCACCGTTCGAGCGCAAAGGGTTAACAATCCCCGGATAAAAAAATTGTGAAACCGGTGATTTCGAGCGACCGGGTCGGTTCGGCTTGAAAAACGAAACTTTAGGCCAGTTTTACGTTAGGCGGAACGGCGCGCCGCGCCGCGCGCGCGGCGTTGCACCGAGACCGCGCTCGCTCGCGCTATGCAACGCCGAGCGCATGTGTCTGCGTGCACATTCTGGCGTTTCCACGTCGAACGTAACCGCATGGCCTATCCTAGAGCCGCTCGAGCGGACCGGCGAGAGGAGGAGATCGCGAGATCCCCGTCGTCGTTTCCTTCTCGTTCTTCCCGGGCTCCCTCCGCTGCCCCCCGTCGGCTCCCCCCCCTATCCCCCCCACCTC